TTTTATTCTTTGCCTGATCTTATAAATTCTATATTTCTTTCCAGGTTCAATTAAAATCAAATTTAAAGCTCAAATTCAAATTAAATTTAAAAATGAAGCCACTGATAAAATTCCTCAACTTTCCCATCACTCAGATAGCTATTCCTCTTAGAATTTCTAAGTCTGTTGGAGTCTCTACCTCATGTAACCTTAGTTCTTAGTAATGTATTATATTCTTCAGAAATCACAGTCAGAAACTTAGAATGTTATAAATGAAAGGAAACACCATTCATTAGACCCAACTCTTCTTTTTAAGACGATGTCATGGAGATGTAAGGCATGAGTAAAGACTTTGCTCAAAATCCCACATCATACAGTAGCAGATCTAAGACCAGAATTTGGGACTCCTTCCTCTTAGGCTAAAGATCTTTCCTCTATGTTATTACTTCATGGGCTGTAATGTTTTTTCTTTAGTACTGATGTTTTTGGAGGAAAAAATCATGTCTTTTGCTTCTTTGTCATTTGAAAAAACACATTTAGCAGATCTAAATAAGAGGTATAGCAACAAAGATACCTTAGCCCCCCACAGGGAAAATACATAATGAAACATTAATAAATTAGTAGTATCTGTCTAGATTTCGGTGTTGAAAAGGATTCAGAGGTTACATCTAAACTGAGTAGAAAAGAATGTCATGGCTGACTAGTGACATGGGCATAGGAGAAAATGCGATGTATGTGCCAGATATGTGTTTTTCCCTCTGTCCAGTAATCAGTACTCTTCAACTATATGAACCCCCTGGGAAAGATGTACATGGAGAAGATAAGAATATGGATGCCTACCCAGTAACCAGGACAGAGGAATCAACTCAGCCACCAATGTGATGGCATATGCTCCTGCCAGTTGTCTCATTAACTTCTTCGTGTAACTCTCAAATTTATAGGCGTGTAGTAAATACTCAGTAAGAATTTACCAACTGATTGAAATTAGAATATAAATAAATACTTTTACAACACAACTGTCCCATCCTTCTTTGGTAACCCTAGGTTAATTCCAGTAGCTGGCACTTGTCAGGTGCTTTAAAATTCCTACTGGAATAAAAATATGACCTGCAAAGCATGACCATGAATCTTTAAATGATCAATGCACAATCCCACCTGACATAAAATTGAGACTATTGTAAGCTGATGCCTGTACTGCGTAAGTAAAATGTCTTCTATAGTCTTTGAATCGCCTGTCGAAGTTGGCCAGATGGCATGAAAGAAAAAGGGGGATTCAGAAAACCATCCTTTAACATATGGGATTTTATGAGTCAAATTGTGAGGAAAATCTGACTCCGTGTGGACTTCCATTTTATATGTCACTCTTCTTCCGCAGGGTCACCTTGAATGATGTAAGGTGTTCCGGGAGTCAAAATAGCGTGGGGGCATGGATCCAATGTTGACTCATATTCTGTGGAAGAAATCTACACCAAAGTCTGGATAAGATAATTTGGTTGTGAGTGCTAGGGATGTGACTGCTGATCACAGAGGAAACAAGGCGACCAAGGTGTAAATTTTGTCGTACGACTACCTACTCACTTAAGAATAGCATGCGATACGATCGAAAATCTTGCTGACGCTGAATGCATAACCATAGCCAGTTTTCAGAAAGAAAGTCTAGCTGAAAAGAAAAAAGAAAGTTTTCAGCCCCTTCATTTTACGAGTTTGGTCACACTTTGGTGGGTTTGCAAAACTTTGAAAGAATACCTTGGTGGTGAATTATTCTGCAGTCTCAGTGTTGGCTGAACCAACAAAGTGTGAAACCTCTAGTTTGCATGTGCAACCTAAGGTGTTTTACAATCAGAAAAGAGAGAGAAATGTCTTTGGCAAACTTTACAAGACAGGAAAAGATCATGAAAGGATATACTATTGTAGTGGCAATATTCTGAACCAAAGTACTGAATGTTAAAAGATAATAATCTGATACCATAAGATTCACTTCAAGTCTGGGATGCAGTTATATAATTTGCAGGAATCACTGCAAAATGAAAATGGGGGTCCCTTGTTTAAAAAATCATTAAGAATTTCAGGAAGATAACAACAGAGCATTAAACCAAATGTGGGCAGGTCTAAATAAGTGTGGGGTCCTGATAGGTGGTGCAGGTTTCATGCCCATGATTGGGCCTGCTGGGATTTCTAATTAAGAATTTTTAAACTTTTATTTGCAGCTTAACTATTTTTTAAGGAATTAAAGAGTAGCTATTATCTCACAAATTCTACAGAAAAAATATTCCAGGAGCCAAAGCCTGATAGAATGTGATTGTTTGAATTTACATAGCTAACACAGCTTTAGGCACATACAATAACCTTAATGGATATTGAGTGATTGTGGGACAGGTGGATTTTCAGTTTTGCATTTTCCAGTTGAATGAGTTTCAGCACAGTACTTTGTTTTTCTGGGTCTTGATTAACAAATCTAAAAATTGAGGGAACAGACCATAGATAATTTCCATAATTTCGTAATTCCATGTTATGCTTGGCCATGCCATCAAGTGTTAGTAGGGCTTGGATGTTAGCTCTGTAGTTACTACCCCTAGACATCTGGCCACATTGTAAACATGTTTCTAATATATATCTGTAATTTTAAAGGGGCACTGTCAATTTACAAATGCCCAGACAATATGCATCTCACTCTTCTTAACTTCTCACCCCAATATCATATGCCAGTGAGTAAATCAAGGGAATAATCATGACTCCTNAGGGCACTGTCAATTTACAAATGCCCAGACAATATGCATCCCACTCTTCTTAACTTCTCACCCCCAATATCATATGCCAGTGAGTAAATCAAGGGAATAATCATGACTCCTTTCCAGAAGGTTGGGAATATTTCTTCCAGGAACTTGGAGCCTGGCCAGTGGTTTCCTGGATGGTACTGAGTGCCTGCAGTGTATCTCCAGGTTTTGATAGGGCTTCTTGTCACTGTGTTACCTGTAAGCACACTACTTGGGCTCTGTTTTCCCTTGAGGACCACTACACTAGAGCTTTGTGGGCAGCAGCAGGCTTTCTACACTTTTCACTGGCTTAACTTGAGGCTTTGGTCGTGCAGCTATGTTTTGATCTTGGTTAATTTTTGGGTAGATTGCCCCTTAAAGAATTTTGAGGCCTTTTTCACATAAAGTGTACATGGAATTGTCCCAGGAAGCAGGATTTGGCTAAAGACATAGCATCATGTTTCCAACATAATCATAAATTCTATTTAATTAAAAACTCTTTTCCTGCAGGTTAGGTCTGATAACTTTGGGATTAGAACATGAGGGAAAATAACCTCAAAGTATATCTTTGATGAAGTATCCAAAGATATTTGATTCAGCATTGTCTGTGGACAAATCTCCAGGCTAAGTTGTTTTTAGGGGAGAAAATGGTGTTGTAGAAGCAATGAAACCATTTTTGATTTTAAGGAATTCAGTCTAACGTAGGAAACAAGACATGAGTAACTAACTCTAAGATGAGACTGAGAGATCAGGACTCTAAGAAAAGTATGAACCAAGTGCTAGGCCTGTGAGCTTAATTTTAAGAAGGATAATTTTGGGAGAACTCATGGAAATAATGCTTTTTAGGCCGGGCTTGAATGAATGGGTACAGATGAAGGGAATGAAAGCTCAAGGCCAAAGGAATAGTATAAGCAAAAGTTCAGCACATATTTATGGGAATGACTAGTCATCCAACATGGCCAAACGACAGTAGATAACCCAGTAGATAACTGGGTGCTTACTACAAGTCAGGCAAAATTCTTAGCACTTTATATATACTGTGTAATTTAATTTTCAACTGAAACCTGGAAGGAGTTACTAATATTAGGCCTATTTCAAAGTCATAGATGCTCGAAATCATATAGCTAGATAATGGTGGAGCCAGGATTCAGGTCTGCACCATAAACATGATACTTTAGAGCATACAGTACAGGTTGAAATACAGGGTGGGCTGGAACCTAAGAGTGGCAGGCCTCCTGTGTCATCCCCCACGTGTTTTGCTTCATAAATAAATTACTAAAGGTGGAGAAAGAATTCTACTTTTTGCATTTGGAAGGAAAAGAAATAAACAAGTAAAACAAACCTTCTTCATGATTAATGATTATTTGGAACAATTGATCATCCAGAACTATATTGTTCAACACAGTAGCCTCTAGCCACATGGCTTGAGCATTTGAAATATGACCTGTCTAAATTGAGATTTGCTGTAGGTATAAGATGTCTACTGGATTTCTAGGGTTTAAAACGACAAACAATATAAAATATTTTAATAATGTGTATTGATACGTATTGAAATATTTTGAATATATTGGTTTAAATACAATATATTTTAAAAATTATTTTTACCTGTTTCTTCTTACTTTTATTAATGGGGCTGCTAGAAATTTTATATTTGTCTATTTGACTTGCATGAGATTTTTATTGAGCAGTGTTTGTCCAGAGCAATTTAAAGTTGCAGTAGATATTTTACTAACTGATGAAGGACTTCCTCACCACATTGGTCTTTAAACCACATTTTTTCCTTGCTTTCTGGCTATTTGCAAGAAAAATTTTAAAAAGTGCCCCCTTTGTAAAGGTTTGAGAGCCCCTAGAATTTCCTTTTCACTTGCTCCCAACCACAAACAAATGATCAGTCTGCTCTGTCAACACATTGGAGCCAACATTTTACAAGGGCGAAGGGAGGAGGTGTAACACATTTTCCAATTCCTGAATAGTGTGAAGTAAAAGTGCTTTCAGAGAATCCCACAAGAATGGCAAGGTGGGCATAATGGGTCTGTCTCATCGTCAAAAGACCCAAGGAGTTGAAAGGAAACTCTAACTACAATACCAAAATGCCACAAAACCATAGTTATTAATACAAACTAACTAGCATCTCTGTCTATCTGTCACCATCTCATCTTAAAAAAACTTGTGAAAATACGTAATCCTGATGAGACTCCAATTAGGTATAAATACCAGCAGCAAAAGGAGGTACAGTACATTTTTCTGAACATCTACAGATTGGCTATTAGAAGAGAAAGATCAGCTGAGTCCTTTGGGCCTGATCAAAAATACAGGAGCTGCTGATTTCAACGACTTCGGCCTAACTCTCTCCAGAACAATGAATTTTACAAGTTATATCTTAGCTTTTCAGCTTTGTGTGATCTTGGCTTCTTCTAGCTGCTACGGCCAGTCCACAATCCTTAACGAAACAGAAAAACTAAAGAAATATTTTGTAAGTATGATCTTTTAATAATACTTGTTAGTGGTTAAAATGACTGAACGTTCACTTGGAATTGTATCTACGATAGGCTGTCATCTCTCGTCCACAGTCATCTTGAGAAGACTTGGTGTTATTTTGACTGTTGACTGGCTGAGTTTTAACTAAATGATCTAGATTTTGCTTTAATTCTCTACTCAATTTGCTATAGAGACTAAGAGGGCATTCATGAATCTTTCAAAAGATGGGTATAAGATGGGATGATGTTGATAATTCTGTGGTAAGAATCCATTCAACTGTGATGTCAAGTAGCATGCAGTATACTGGGAAAAAATAACTGGCTATTAGTTTCTGATTTCTCAGGCACTTGGTGATGATGGTCGTAAAGGGTCAAGATTAGCATTAAAATGATAATCTGTAATAGTTAATCAGTTAAAGAAGGTAAGGTTCTTAAAATTTTGACTTTAAAAAATCATTTATAGGTGTTTTTCTCCAAAAAGTGATTTTAAAATTCTACTACCCCATCTATGTTACCTACGAATTACCCTTGAACTCAGTCCCTAGCTAGAATTCTCTGGGAGTTATAATCTCACTTGTATTTAATTTTTTGTTGTTGTTATATGACTTTCTTTTAAAATTATATTTATAGTTAATTAAGATCATTTTTGCTAATCTATTTTAATTTTGGTTAATTAAAATATTTTATTATTTGTTCAAACTTTAGCTATTATAATTGTAGCTGTTATACTTATGTTCAAGCTTTCAAAAGCTATTTTATTTTCACAACATCATATCAAATTTCTCTCTCATACACACACACACTTGGATCTATCTTTTAAAGCTGACATAACAGCGGATAGGACACAGGTAGATGTTATAGAGATCTGTACCAAAGGGGGGCAGTATTTTATAGTGGGATGGTTGCTGATTTTTTTACTAGTCTTGAAGCCACTTTTTTAAAAACCATAGTTATTTGAGACAAATTGAAGTATCATCAGCCTTGTTGAATTCATTTGTGACACTGCAACTTAAGGATTATACTAGAGAATAAGAAAGTTAAAATAGCATAGTAGTCTTTGGCAATGTCCAACATAACAGGTTTTGGAAATACTTGCCAGAAGTAAACAGAGGGTTGAAAAGGAAATCAGTGAATATTGTCAGCATCTAAGTGCAATAAAATTTGTACTTTTAGGGCAATTTATGAAGTAATTGTAAACCAATTTTTCCCTTTTTTTTTCTTCCAGAATGCAAGTAATTCAGATGTAGGAAATGGTGGAGCCCTTTTCTCAGATATTTTGAACAATTGGAAAGGGGTAAGCTGAATATTTTCATTTGGTTGATTTTCTTGTTGCTTATTTTCTGATAGATAAACTCATATCAACCTCTCTTTGTGCTCTTTCTTTCCAAGGAGACTGACATAAAAATAATTCAGAGCCAAGTTGTCTCCTTCTACTTCAAACTCTTTGAAAACTTTAAAGATAATGAGCTCATTCAAAGTAGCATGGAGATTATCAAGGAAGAGCTGCGTGTTAAATTCTTCAACAGCAGCAACAGCAAACTGGAAGACTTCAAGAAGCTGAGTCAAATTCCGGTGAGTTGATTTAAATTTTTTCCTTGGTTTTATTGCAGAGGCTCTTGCAAAAATACCTAAGTCCCAGAAAGTAGAAATGAGCTACTGGGTACAGTTGTTAAAACTATGAAATAAACCCATGGTCAAAATTCCTCCTTACTAATTCTCTTTGTGCTTTTGGGTGATTTTTGTCAATAGTCCATATGGGGATTATTTAATTTTGTGATTTGGGAAAATACTGGCATTATGAGCATTGCACAAAGACAGGTGAATGGACAAATCCAGTGAGGAAGAAGTGGTGAAGATGCTGAGGGAGGTATTGAGAAGCAGTTCTCTCCTTGCTTGTGTGATGGAAAGTCTCTTGCTTTGGATAGGAGGTTGCAACTCTTAGCGGAAAGAGCAGTGGGAGGGGAGAGGTTTGTGTTCTCCTCCCAGCTCAGCCACTAAGGAACTGTGTGAACTCAGATGAATCATAGGTCTGGCTTAGTTTCCTTATCATAAGAGGAGCCTGTTGGGTTCACTATAATTTCTATAGCCTCCTTTCTTCTAAAACTTTACAATGCCATGGATACAAAATGAGAATGAAGTAGGAGAAAGGTAGTCTTTGAAAAGGTACAGAGAGCATTCCACTGCCAGACTCTTCTCAATCTCTCATATTGTGCAGCCCAAATAGAGGCGAGAGTGTTTGTTTGCTTTCAGAAAAAAAAAAAGGTAGAATTTATACCTTATGAGATAATTGTTTATTAACTTTTGGACACTAGAATATCTATCTCAGCTGGAGAAATCCTTAGACTCCCAAGCTGCATTTCATAAAATTGTTGTAAGTCTTTAAAGCTTGAGTCTAGAAGCTGCAAGATAATTTTGAAGCATAAAGACAAATCAGCTTTTCCAAAATTTTATCTAAGAGACAAAGGCCTCCAGATTCCTTTGGATTTGGCTGTGATAAAAATATGAGAAAGGGAGGGGTCATGATATGACTTGTGCTCTCAAGGATTTGTGCCCAACTCTCACTATACCTAGAACTGAAATAGATGCTTACTTTTCAGGATTTTTCTAGTCCCAGTACATTAGATGGCACAAAAGTGGTTTGGAAAAATTATAAGACTATTACTACTTTCCACTAATAGTGTTTTCCAATGTTCAGCAGTTCTCTTTTGGCCACAGGCTAGAGACTAAAACATACTTGTTACTAACCCAGTGCTGCCCTTGGCTTACCTCTAGTCCTGGATAAGTACCCTAGTTTCTTGGTGATGCTTTGATCACTGAAAAGTAAAATTTATCACAACACATAGCTGATAGGAACTTTTTCTACTTTGCTATAACTAGACCTTGAAAAAAGCTGTTGTTCCCATCTTTTGGGAAGCTGTAAGCCTCCTGCTTCATGATGGGTAATCTTAAGTGAACTCTCAACCATTTTCCTCCTTTACTCAATTGCTGACATATTTAAGGCATGCTATGTCTTTAAATGATTAGTCTTGCAGTCTAGAATTCTCCTAGTCATTCTCAGGAATGTGACAAGGTGGCCACAGTGTTCCCAGTGTAAGAAAGACACATAGTGACAGAGCCACGGTAAAAGTAAATGGTCCTCATTTTATCAAGTATGAATTTACTAAATGTTCCCATTGACTTATGTGAGGAAATAGTTCACTGTACTGGAATAGAAGGCAGGGTACAGGGAAATTTTCTGCAATTCCAATTTTAAATGTTTATACCACTAATTGTTTATGCCATATAAAAATATTTTATTTTTAATCCCATTATGGAAATGATGAGACTGACATAATTTGGGGGAAATTAAAAATTATGGTATTCATTTGTCTTGGACTTGGTATTTAAAAAATACTAAACCTATCTCAGTGGTTCTCAAACTTTGGTGGGTATCAGCATCACCTGCGGAACTTAGTGACCAAACAGTGGCTTAAGCCCTCTTCATGCACCTGGGCCCCTGAGTTCTTCATTAGGTCTCCAGGTTATTCTGCTAGACACCAAAGGTGAGAACCAATAACCTATAGTAACTCATTTGATACAGCAAAGATTAAAGTACAAGGTGATAGAATTGGTAGAGAACCCAAAAGTTATCTAAAACAGAGGTTGAGAAAGGTTAAGTGACTGGTTCAAAGTCAGTTATTGCTCATAAAGAATAAAGCCAACATGCTTTGTCATTCCACTTTGTGGGCATTTCACTATAATTTTGAGAATCTTGGAGCAGTAAACTTAAGGATAAAGCATGTACTCCACCATATTACAGCATAACTAGCAATTTAATTATCATTTTAGTCTTAACTACTGATGAAAGCACTGTTGTATATTAAGGTAATCTATTCCAGAAAAAATAATCTTTTTAAAGAAATACTTCCATTTTCATGGACCGTTACATCAACAGCAGACTATCCTGATGGATTTGATGCCCAAAATTAATATTGCTGTCCTTTTCAACAGGTGAATGATGTGGCCATCCAGCGCAAAGCGATGAGTGAACTCTACAAAGTGATAAGTGAGCTGTCACCAAAAGCTGGCCTAAGGAAGAGAAAGAGGAGTCAGACTCTGTTTCGTGGCTGGAGAGCATCGAAATAATGGTCATCCTGCCTGCAATATTTGAATGTTTAAATCTAAATCTATTTATTAATATTTAATATTTTACATTATTTATAAGGGGAATATACTTTAAACTCATGATCAAATTATTTATAAAAGCAACTTTTATCTAATGAAAATGAATATATATTAATATATGTATTATTTATAATTCCTGTATCCTATGACTATTTCACTTGACCTTTTTTTCTGAGTAGGCAAAACTATGTGATTACAAGGCTTTATCTCAGGGGCCATCTAGGCAGCTGACCTAAGCAATCCCTTGTGGGTTGTGTATTTATTTCACTTGGTGATACAATGAACACTTACAAATTAAATGATGCCATCCGGTTGCTGCCTATTTGGAATCATGTCTGCTTTCTGAGCCACTGCTTTAATGGCATGTCACACAGCACTTGAATGTATAGGTCATTTGACTTGTCCCCTGATAAAAACATAGCATCTCATCCCATACCCGGTGCTTTAGAATATTGTTGACAATTGTGACTGTACCCAAATGCAAAGTATTTTATTTTTTTGTTTATTAATATTTAATATATATGAATAAAGCATAATTTCAAACTATTTGTTTTGTGTCAGACATTTTCAAAGTGAGGACTGTTGTAAATGCACTACATACTAATAAATTAGTATGAGGAAAGTCATTTTCAGCCATGGAAATCTTAGAATTGGATTAAGTCGCATTAAATGCAGTGTTTCTCTCCACTGGCAATTTGTTTGCTTCCATTGCTCCATTTGGCAACTGTTTAAATTATCTTTCCAAAATATAGATTTAACTGTGTCACCATTTATCAAAGAGCGTCTGCTTTGGGAAGTAGTCCAAATTGTTTAGCTTGGAACACAGAGATTTATTATACCCTCTGTCTCAACTTCCCACTGCATCCTTCATCTTGGTATCCCCCATCTCCTCTGCCCACCTTGGAAAAACATCTGTGGGTATTAATAGTGAGTGTAAGCTTTAGGGAGAGAGGCTTGGATTAGAATCTTGATCTTACCATTACAAGTAATGTTGTTACCATCATTAACTATTTAATATTAGTAATAAGAAGAGAGCAAAGGGAAAGCCAGATATTATAAGCATGATAATCTGGGCAGCTTCATCAGGAAGCTACAGCTTTATGCTCTCCAGGGAACTACTGGTCCATTCTTTGCAGATCACTGGGGGAAGGGATTGAACAAAGGGGGAGATGAGCACATGAACAGTGAAGTCAGGGTGATGTAAGGGAGGTGCTTGCCTGTGAGTCCAACCTGGGAAAAAGATAATTGGCTAACGGGTGGAACACTGCAAGGACACAAAATCTTAGAAGGTTATAAGCTAACCAGATGCTAGACTGGACTATATCTTAATATGGAGAAGAAACTCTGGACACTGGCTTTTGCATTGGCCCTGCTAAAGACAAGGTTGAACTTCTTCCATGATGAGATGGATGAAGGTGGGACCTTGGAAGGGAATTCCCTTATTTTTACATCATCAATAAAGCTTGTCAAGAAACCCCATCCTCCTATTGGGGCCTCATGAAATTCTTTTCCCCAAGACACCCCAAGGACTCTACTTCTAATGATAACAGTGTGACTTTTTAAAAAATATATATTTTTATTAATTATAGAGAGAGGAAGAAAGAGGGAGAGAGAGATAGAAACATCAATGATGAGAGAGAGTCATTGATTCACAGCCTCCTGCATGCCCCCCACTGGGGATTGAGCCCCGAACCAGGATATATGACCTGACTAGGAATTGAACTGTAACTTCCTTGTTCATGGGTTGATGCTCAACCACTGAGCCATGCCAGCAGGCAACAGAAGACTTTTAATTATTTATATTCTCTAAGCTCAAGTTTTCTCATCTGATGAAGAATTGTGCCTTTCTTATAATATTGTGGTAATAGTTCATTCTTTCATTCAAGAAATATTTACCAAAGCACCTACTATGTGCTTGGTGCTGTTCTATGCACCCAAGATAGCTTTGTGAACAAAACAGACAAGGATTCCTGCCCTTGGGCAATTTAAAGTTTAGCAAGGGGGAGACATATAATCAACAGAATACATAAGGTGTTAGTAAATTGCATGGTGTGTTAGATGGTGATAGGTGTTACGGAAAAAAAATAAAGCAAGATGGGGGAATTGGGAAAACTCTAAGTAGGGTAGAAAGGATGGGCTAGAAGTTTAAATGGAGTGATTGTAGCTGGCTTCATTGAAGAGATGACATTTAAGGAAGCACTTGTAAGAGGTTCGGAAGGTAGCTATTTGGATTTGGGGCAAGGGAAACATCCTTGCAAAGGCTCTAAAGTGGAGACTTGCTTTGCATGGTAAAAGAAGAGTTAGCAGACCAGTGTGGTTGGAACAAAGTAAATAATTGGAGTCCAGAATAGCTCCAATTTTTTAGCTGAGCAACTAAAAAGATGAACTTGTCATTAACTGAGATGGGGAATTGGAGTGAGCTGTTTGGGGAAGAAAACCAGAAGTTCAATTTTGAACATTAAATCCATTAGACTTCAAAGTAGAGATGCTGAATAGGCTATTGGCTAGATCAGTCTGCAGTTGAGAGAGAAGTCTGGACAGTTCACATAAATTTGGGAGTTAAGACATATAAAAAAGGTATTTAAAGACCTAATACCAGTTGGACTCATGAAGGTCATGAGTTTACATAGTGAAAAGAAGAGCAAAGGATTGAGTCTTCAGGCATGCCATCATTAAGAGGCCAGGGGGATACCAAAAAAGGAAACTGAAAAGATATGGTCAGTGAAATAGGAGGACAATCTAAAAAGTGAGATAGCCCGAAAGCCACATGAAAAAAGTGTTTTAGGACTAAACTGTGTCAACCACAGATAATTCTAGTCAGATGAAGACTGAGAACTGACCACTGTACTTAACAACATGGAAACCATTGGTCATCCTGGAGAAGTCCTGAGGTAGACTGAGAATGAAAACCTGATTGAAATGGGACTAAGAGAGACCTTAGAGATACAAGACATGGACAACTCTCTTTAGAAGTTTATTGTGAAAGAGAGCAAAAAAGAGGGCAGCTGCCAGGATAAGAGTGATCAAAAGAAGTTTTAAAATTTTTTGGTGGTCGTTTTTAATATGAGAGAAGAAATAGCATGTTTATGTATTGATGGAAATGATCTAACTAAGAGAAAAACAATAGATGATATAGGTAAGAACAGGGAGAACTGTAGAGTGGTTCCATGAGTAAGTAAGAGAGGTGAACTGAGGACACAGGAGGAATTGGCTTAAGACAAGTGTACAGAAAGTTCCTCTTTGTTAATAAGTTGGAAGGTGGATTATGTGACTTCTGATGGTTGGTGAGTAAATGTGGTGGCAAGAATTTTTTGCTGGTTGTTTAAAATTTTCTCAGTGAAATAAGAAGCCAAAGGTGAGGTTCAAAGAAGAAGTGTTGGAGACTTGGAAAGAGTAGAAAAATGAATGAGTCAGGGGAGTACATACAATGTGGATTGTCAGGCAGCTTTAAAGGCCCACTTGAGGTCAGTGGTCATGAAGTTAAGAGACATCAGTTGGTGTAGTTGAGTTTTGTCTCTATCTATTTAGGGCCATGGGTGAAGATACAGAGTAGGGAGAGAGTTATATTTAGCAGACTTTAATTTGGCCAAGCAAGTAAGACAGAGGGAGAGAGGAAAGGAATCATGGGGAGATACGAGGGTGTACTCATAACAGCTAGTGAACTGGTGATTAAACTCTAAGCTGGTGAAGGAGGAGAGCAAGTATGTGAAGGTTGCTGAAGAAGAGTAAAGAAATGTTTGGTTGAAAGGATATCTGCCCCACCTCCAGGTCCAAAAGATGAAAGGAAAAAACAGCCACCATATGAAGGGGAAGTAGGGAAAACAGTGTCCTTGGGGGAGAATCCATTTTATCTTTTGAGTGTGAGGAAGTTGAGGTGTGATAGATTTAGTTAGTGCTGGATGGTGAATTCCAGAAGACCCAGAGAGTAAGGGTAAGAGAGAAGGTCATAAAAGGGAATGCACATAGGAACATGCTGTGAGTCTGGAACTTCTTATGATCACTGACATAAACAAAAATAATGTATGCAAAAAGATTAGCTCTGCTGGCTTTGGGGCATATAGTGGTGGTAAGATTGTGGGGACAAAGAGGGTTAAGTGTCTGGAGATTCTTTCTCAACTATTTCACTTAACTCTTCCACAACAATAGGGTTAAGTGAAATACTTCATGTAAAGGAGTCAGTTTAGTCCTTGACAATGATCAGTGGTCTTTATTTTGATTATTGGGTAGGTAAGTAGCAGCAAGTGAGACTTGATTCTAAAAGTACTGAATCTTTGATCAGGCAAGATTGAAAAGAAATTGGGCTGATCTTGGCATAATTGCAACTGATATGAGCTGTGGTTGGTGTCCCCACTCCTGTTAGTATTTAAAGCTGAGTAAGGCAAACTTTAAGATATCTATAGATGGAGAGCTTCTATAAGATAATGTTGTCTGGACCATAGAATCAGACCATACCTTTGTGGAAAGGATTGAAAATTCCTACTGTCAATTGTTTCGAGAAGTCATTAATCTTGAAATGGGAAATGAAGCCCCAGGCCTTGGTCTATGGCTACGTAAAGTATCCCCCTCTCTGAGGCTGGTGTTTGGCATAGGCTTTGAGAGGTGGAGAGATATTGATTGTATTGAGTGATGTAATGGAAGCTTGGAATGAGACAGAGAGAAGACCTTTTAAGAGAACTTGAGTTGAGTTGACCTGTGCAGTAGTTATAAATTATTCTCTGTATTGTATGCTCCTTCCATTATGTACATACCTAGTTTCAGAGAGTTGTGGGGCTTAAAAAAGGGATGACCTGTGCTTTAGACTAATTGACCTAGGGAAGAGCAAAATCTCTCTCTCAGCACCAGTAGGGGCAGTTATCTACTTAGGCTCATGGCACCAGGGGCAGTAGCCAAGGCAAGCAGTGGGGGAACTCTCTTGTATAATATCCCACTCTTGGTTACTCCAAGAAATATCTGGTACAACCTTACTGTCAGAATGATTTTGGCAATTAGGCAATTGAATTTGAGCATTAACAGTGAATTTTCCTCTGTTTTTTCTCTTTTTTTCTTGCTTTTTCCATCTCTTCACATCCTGAACAATACAATCACAGCAATTTGTTGCATCAGTATAAGGTAGGCACTCATAGTTGCTCACTACAGGGAGTCATAACCTAAGCAAGGTGACAAGGGTGCAGATGAAAGGGAGAAATCTTGTGTGGAAGGTGCCAGAACCTGAGCAGAA